TTTGTTCTGTAACGACTAATTATTATACAATCTATGATCTACAGACTTTGAAAGTTGTATTTATTATTGTGATAATACATATTATTTTGGTAATGACATGATTTTGTAAATGTCATTACTTATGATAAAAAGCTGTTAAGTTTCTTTCGCTTGTTCTTCTTGTCAGCTAAAAGACGTCCTGAACAAGTGGTAGGGGAAAAAAAAATTTTTTGGATGATTCAAAAGTGCTTGTAAGAAGCTTACTTGAATAAAGATATTTTCATTTCATTGCATGTGGTATTTGTCTTGACGATTGTAACGTTTCCCCCCCTTACAAACCTTATATATACAGGAAGCATTTAAAACCACTCTCCAAATTTGAGTATGTTAATCTTTACGACAAATAATGAAATACGAGTTTTTTCATTTTATGTCGTTTAGAACAAAAATGTTGAGTTATATCGTCACCAAGTTATTTTCAAAAAACCTACATTTGTGGACGCTCTCACTGCCAAGTACGTGCGCTTTACGCGCTACGTTACACATACCCCTCCCTCCCTTCCCGCAATTCATTGATACTAATACAAGTATGCTTGCGTTTGTAACAACACCCCCCCTTACCCACGAAATAAAAATAAATAAGTTATCTGCGTATAATGATTTTAAATAAAATAAATCTTTAATAAAATAAATATTAACTTAATTATTTATTTGGCCATAATTATAAAGTTGTGATCGTCTAGTGGTAGGACTCTTCGTTGTGTATTATATTTGTAGTAACCTTAGATTCTTTGTATGAAGGTGATTGCGAGTGGTTAGAGTATATGTTTTTGAGGGCATGGAGAAGTTTAGATCTTAAACTAATAAATTAAAATAACACTATAAGGTGATAAAATATAGTTGTGTATAAAATAATAAAAGTAAATGTTTCTTCTTTGGTAAACAAATAAAATATAAGAAATGTTTGTTTACTAAATTAAGCTTAAATATTTGAAGGAAAGTTATAGAATGAGTCTGTTAGGTAGGAAAGGAAATAAGGTAAGTAAACAACAACAATGCCAGAAATTATGTAAAGAAAAGAAAATAAATAAAGCATTGCTGATGTTTAAAGTGCTTTCGAGCCCCAACCACGCTCAAAGCCCAGGGCCCACCACACGGCCCCTTAACCATTATTAACTCTAACCGGTCCAGCAAGGAATACCTTTCTAACCAGAAAATAAAACTACACCTCCAAAAAAAAGAATTGCTCTGCAAAAGAGCAAAAGAAAACCCTATATGGTTCGTTAATATACCCAGACTGATGTCCTCCATAAAGACAATGGAACATAGTTTGACATAGCATTAGTTATCGTCCACCGGTACCACGAGGAATGCGCCATTTCGACTACTCCAGTACGGGATAAGGAGACAACTAACACGATATCGCACAGGACCTCACCAATATGAAACACACGTCTAGGAACATTAGGTACCACATCAGAACGACACAATAAAGCGAAGCCCTATAATTATTTGTAAATATAACAGGCTTATTTGCCCTCCACTGAACTGACGGCACAAGTAATCAACCGAGCTATCTCTCACACTTCCGATACTGGCGGTGATCACCATCCTGACCCAGTATAGGATAGGCGTCATTGATACTGGTATCTCACCGAACCATTCATTCAAATAGCGGACAACACCTGCGATATTAACGAATGATTGGAACAACCCAATATTGTGACTTCTTTGAAAACTATGAAAACCTAGTAATAAAAATAAGTATGAACAGACTCGAAAGAGTCCAAATAAGAAAAAAGTGAAACTCATAAGAATTCTCATTCCAATCTGGACCGATAGAAATTGATATTGAAAATTAGAATTATGAAACTGACTAGAATAATTCAAAGTGGTTATATTTTTTTATGTCAGATTAGTTATGTATGTGTTATTTGAGTAGTATGTTATGTATATAAATAGATAGTATAATATAAAACATCTGAAAGACAATTAGAAAGTAATTAATGATAAACACACAAAAATCCTACTTGATAATAACCCCTTATCATAATTTATCTGCAATATACCGCTGTAGGATTTTCCTATCAATTTCAAGGATACTTCAAAATTCGTCATCCATCCTTCATACATACTATTTTGACTTACTATGAATCGTTGTATTTTCAAGATTATATTATTCACTAAGAACATATCGGATATTACTTTCAGATCTATGTCAGAAAAATATAAAATTTGATATAACTACGTTCCCTAATATTTGTGGTCCAAAGCGGAAGCCCTGAACCCAAACCTGTTAAACCTCTCAGCTCCGTTTATGCTCAAACCCGTATCGACAGCTCTTCCTCCAGCGCTTCGCCCTTGTTCTGCTTCTACTTGAACACACACTGACCGACTACCAGAGTTCCGCCCCCGTTGATGTCACTCGCCGAAAAAGCTCCAGAATCTCATGCCTATTTCCTTTTATACACTTATCCTTCTAGAACCTTCTACACACACACATCAACGAATTCATTCGCTTTAGTTTAGGTATCCATCCCCTCAACCAGTCAAATCCATTACTAGATATTGTGATATTCTAGTATATTATTCTAATAAAACGATAAATCACTAATAGAATGTACATATTAAATGTTTCGATATATTCAATAATCATTTGTCGTGATGTTGTCGTTAAATATCTTCCTAACAAAATTATATATTTTAATCATAATTCGTTAACACCCATAATCATGTCCTGGCAACCAGAACCTTAGGAACCATTTAAATTCCTTCAACAATAACACTAATTGTTTTATTGAATGTTTCTAATATGTTTATCGAATTCCATTAATAGGTAAATAATTCATTATTTATCGAGATTAGACAATGACTCTTACTTGCTCCTTTCTCTTTTAGTGCATTTATTAATCACTTGAGCCTGATAACAAAAAAGATGTTTACAGTGGAATAATTTATCTTTTTGCATTAAATTTTCAGTTATTAGCTTACTTTATATTTTCAAAAACTATTAAGAACCTTTTAAGAGAATATAGCCATCAATAATTTTTATTACAAACTTTATTAATATTATTCAATTACGACTTCCGCTAACTAGCTAAATCTATTTGTCCGTGAAATGAACGCCATCTGGTGTTGAGTTACCAACCTGTATATATACCTATATTAAGTTACTATGATGTGGAACTACTACGATATTCAGATAATACAATGAAATGTACAATATCTATTAGGATCCTTTTAAGAAGATTTAATGATCAATAAATTTAATTACCAACTTTATTAATATATTCAAATATAAGTTCCGCTAACTAACCAAATCTATTAGTTCGTGAATTTTATTCTTTCTTTTTTTTTTTGTAAAATGAGCGCTGCCTAGTATGAACATTGTAAACTAGCTGCTCTGTATTTAAGTTACTAGGTACAATATATATGGATAATACAATGAATTTTGCATCTAGTCCGAGAGATGGCAAGATTATTATTTCTAGACTATTGTTTTAAGAAATAAATAAAACGATAATATTATTCATTTTCCTTTATCAGTGTTTTTTATTTATTTATTATTTAAAGTAACTTAAATATTACATATGTTTATATCGCGGTGTGTTCCGTCACACGTTGGCCATAGTTGGTGTGCTAGTTGCAGCTACCTAAAATGTTTTCGTTTTGTCATGCTTGTGGAAATGGTACATAAAGTTGAAACCTCTTCATACTTTTACGGGCTTGGGACCGTGAAATTGCAAAAATCCTAGTAGATACCTACTATTACAGTAGCTATACTGCTTTAAATTTATAAACTAAGTAGGTAAGTAAATATCGAGTTACCTAAAATTCTGTTTAGTTAAACCAATTCAAATAATACTCTTTATTGCACTTCTAGAAAGAAGTCTTTAAGTTTGAATTTAAAACATTTAATGGAAGGGCAATTCTGAATATTCAAGAGAACTTTGTTCCATAGTTGAACACCACGAACAGAAAAGGATTTAAGGAAGAAATTTGTGTTACATTTAGGCAGCTCAAGAGATTTGGTGACGCAGGGACGCCTGGGATGGTAAGGAGGAGGAAGCTTCTGGAAACGGGAACTAAGGTATTGGGGTGAATTAGGATCTTTAAGGATTTTAAATAGGAATGAAAGGATGTGCATATCACGGCGAAGCCGGATAGGAAGCCAGTTCAGTTGAGCACGAAAAATAGAGACATGGTCATATTTACGTAGTCCAAAAATGAACCGAATTGCGAGATTTTGAAGACGCTCAAGCTTATTCAATTGATCTTCATTCACATCCAGATAACAAATGTCAGCATAGTCGAGAATGGGAAGTAGAAGAGATTGTAATTATTACTCATTTTGAAGTACTAACAATTTTTGATTACTTAGATAAATATCTACCTGTTGAGTGGCGTGTGTCCGCCCGAAGTGACGTCGTGACGGCATAGCTGCGTAGGTTACGTTAGCTTCACCTATCGTTTTTCTATCTGTAGTAGATTAATTAGGCATAAATACTGTGAGTATTGTAAAGGAAGGATGGGGAAATAGCTTGTTTAGTACATACCTGTTATTGCTTCAACTCTTTCCATGTTTCAATATACACTATTCCGTTGTTAAGTAATAATCCTATAGACTTGTTAAATGGTTTATTCGGTAAATTTTGGGAAAGCCTGCATGCGTCCGTCGCTGCACACAACTCATTGTTGGCTGGCTGTAGCGCATACGCTGCGGTGTCTATGTGTGCGTCGCGTCGGCCGTCGCTCGATGCAACATCAACATTGTGGCGCCATCTTTAGTGGTGTAATAGCTATTACCTAAAGTTTTATCTAATACCTATTCATAGACTTTTTTCGTCATAATATCTACGTATATATATATCTTGCATCCCTGCGTCCGTGTGGTGAATTCATAGGGTCTAGCTGAAAATCGGCGTCGGTCTGTTTCTGGAAAGTAAACAGACCGACAAATGCCGAGCTAGATACCTATTTGGTGCAGTCGTGGGACACAATATTATTTATTTTATTACTTTAATATTGAATAATGTTAAATATCCTATTGTTTGTAATTATACCTACGTTTAATGTATTGTTTATTGTAATATGTAGTAATGTGATTAATTATTATATTTTAGGTGTTCTATGTGCATGCGCCGAATAAATGAATTTGAATTTGAATTAAGTGAAACGCACTAGAATGGGTCGAGACAAATCTTTCTTTTTAGTACCAAGCCGATGACAAGTTTCAATTGTATCTGAACCCAATTCCACCGTCTGCATTTGGTTGTTTAATACTCCAAGGATCTTCGAGAGCACAACTTCATCTTTTTCTTTCTGATTCCGTGGAACAGTAGAACCTTTCTGCGTGAATGTGTGTCAAGACGATCAACACCCAAAGCCAGAAGCTCAATCTGTGATTTGATAATGCCAAGCGACTTCCATACAAATGTTTTAAAGGAAGAAAAGTCCGCTGCCAATGACTTCACAGTTGTATTGGACTCTCGCATACCTGGTAGCTGAAGATTTTTTTCAAATTCAGACATCCTGTCGCTGAATAATGATGTAAGATCCTTCAGATTGTTTAGAAGTTTTTCTGCTGTTGCATCCATGATATTTTGGAGACAGTGTGTGTGAAGGTGTATGAAACTTCAACTTAGCCACAGGAGAAGTTAATTTTTACCCATAAGGTATTGTTTATTTTTAAATAATAAAATATTGGGAGCTAATAATTTTTGGTATTTTCAGTTTTGAAGCTACCCGCCAATTCAAAGTAGGTACTTAACTCGTTATTCTTTTGCAATCAGGCGTATTTAAAAAATCATCAACTTTATGTACAGTGGCGGACATTAGCGCTCTTTCACTTCGCATCGATATTTGCATGAACATGCAGTGTTTACTACGCCCCACCCACATACTCACTACTACCAATAACAATCCACTGTCCCACAGTGCCGTGTGCAAGGATGCGTACTTGAATGAACACTTTTTTGTTTGTTTGTTTTTAGTTGCAATTTGCATTTCGTCCATTGTCAATGCATCTAATTGTGATATTATATTGTAAATCTTTCGACTGTGTATGCTACCCGGACTCCGATTCTTACTCCCACAAAACCTCTGCTTTGTTTATTTGACTTCGATTCTTGCCACTTCGGAACTTCTGCTTTTTAAACTGGACTATCTTGTGTTGTGTTATTGTCTGATTCAAAAATAATGGCGCGCAATTTAACAAGAGAAGAGAAGAATCAAATATCAGTTTTAAGCGGACAAGGAAGAAATATTTCGCAGATTTCGAGAGAATTACATGTTTCAGTAAGTCATTAAAACATAAAGTTTTATGTATGTTTTATATTAATGATATTATGTAAATAGAAAAACATTCCCATCTTTCGATTGCGCCTTAGACTAAAGTTATAATGTTTTGACTTTTGTTAGATTATCTTACAATCAAAACAAAACAGTTATAATTATTTTCACAAAATACTCATATTTATATAGAGCGCATTATTTTGAAAAAAGCAATGCAAATTATTTTTTTGCAGTTAATGTAGTATGTAACAATTTCACCGATTGCGTCGTAAGAGTTATAAGATGTATACCGTGACTTCAACTTGAACAAATTTTGTCCTTAAAGAAAAAAAATTGCATGACATGATTTTATATCATTTAATTAAAATACAACAACTCTAATTTAATTTTGCAGAGAGAGACTGTTCGCCGCTGGGTACAGCGAGATGCTGCAGAGGGGTCAATTAAAGATCGGCCCCGAGCACATCCACCGTCAATATTAACTCCTGAGCGAGTATCTGATATGATAAACATATATCAAGAGTTTCCGTTCACTAAAACATCCTATTTCGCATCTGAATATGACTGCAGCGTGAGGACCATACGAAGGGGACTCCATAAAGCACCACAAATACACCACAGGAAACCCGCAAAAAAATTATATTGAATACTGCCCAGAAAGAGGCCCGTGTTGGGTTCGCACGTGATTATCGCGATTTTAATTTTGAAAATGCCATATTTTCTGACGAAAAATATTTTAAGTCCAGCGAACATGGTCGTCAGAGTTTATGGCGTATGGACTGTACGCGATATAAGCCCAGGAATGTGCGTCCCAACAACGAATCTGGTGGAATCGTTTTAAACATGTGGGGCAGGATGAGTGCTGACGGGCCAGGTGAACTGGCATATATCGACGGGAGAGCCACAGGAGAATCAATCAAAAAACAAGGAATTGCTGGAGGAACCACCCACTGTAATGAAATTTGGGACCCCCTTCGAGGTTCAGATTTATGTAGAAATCTCGTACAGTCCATGCGTAGGCGCTGTGATGCAGTAATTGACGCTGGTGGGGCATCTACTAAATATTAAGTAGTTAGGTAGATATAGTCCAACAATATACCTCTATTATACATCATTAATTAAATATCATTTTAAATTATATTATTATTTATATTACCTACATTTGATTATAATGTCTGAGATAAAAAATTATCATATTTTTTTTGCATTGCTCTACTGGATTATTGTTAGAACTGACACTAATAATATGACCTTAGAATTTATAACACATATTTTTAGTAATTTGTGTTTTATATGATGATTATTGGATTGTTATAAATATTGACAACTTTGGTCGGTGTTATATCGCGACTAGTGTTGATGTAAATTGCTATGATATTTGATTATTTCCTGTGGTACGAATAAGAATTGTTTATATTTTATATCCATTTATTTTATAACAGAAATTGTTACGTTAGAATGGCTAAGGAGTAATATACTTTAATTACTTGATCATTATGTTATTATTTTAATGATATAAAAGATCCGATTTAATCATTCAAATTAAAAATATTGTATACACTTTATTTTCTTATGTATGTAAACTTCAGACAGAATACTCAGTTTTATGTTTGTAATTTTTTTTTTTTTTTTAAATTCCAATTGTATTTAGTTAAATGAATCCTTGATGAGTTTTGCTTTAAATCCCCCTGATGAGGGGGGATTGTACCAACTCCCCTTAAAAAAATGGGAGAGGCGCTGGTGATGAGTGAGGATGAGCGGAGGGGGTGGGAATTCACCCGGGAGCTTCTCGATGGTCCACTGGCCCCCTCCTAAGGGGTAGAGAGAAAGAAAAGGGGATAGAAGGTGATGAGAAAGTGGGAACAGGGGTCGAAGAATGGTGAAAGAAGAAAGGTGAGGGTGAGGTGAAGATAGAACCCCTGTTCCCGGGTAGAAATGGGTGATTGAGATGGTTGTTGAAGGTATGAGAAAGCGTGAATAATGATTGGTGATACAGAAGTAGGGTGACCAGAATGATGAGGGCCCCGCCGCCCCGCGGCCGCCTCCACCAATGCTGGTGGCCGCGGCCGCTAGGTGCCGGGGCGATCATGGAACCCTGTGTGTTGCGACTCTCGGGCGTGACAGAAGGATGGATGTTATAGTTGGTGCTGTCCAAGTTGAGATGGTCGCCCCGAGTCGCCTCCTCCTTCATTGGATCTGGGAAAGAATAGAGAGAGAAAGAGATGGTATGCTGCTGCAGCCCCTGAAGTGCTGGTAAAGTTTTCTTGCTTTGAAGCGCCCGCACCCCTCTCGGGGGGGCGCTTCTTTCTTCCCGAGGTGAGGACGGGGAGGCCCTACAATGATGTCAGGCCGGTCTCCTGTCCTGTCCTTGTAGTTAAGCTAGCTGTAGGGGGAGGAATGAGAAGAAGGAGAAACAGGAGCTGCGCTGTTGATCTTCGGGTTCTGGAGAGCATTCCAGATTCCAGCGGATCCGCCTTAGCGCTCTAATTTACAACTTGAGTTGTTCGAGCAAGAACCCGGTTCAGCGGTTGGGCCGATGGCCCCAAGGCCCCACCCTCCACACCTTGGGGCTACCGGCCCCCGCTGCGTTCACGAGTGTGGCTTAAGGCCTTATTCTTTCCTGCATGAGATGGTGGTGATAATATACTGTTTTTAGTTATTATGAAATTGTGAAAAAGTACCTAAGCTATTGGGATTACAGTTATTTCCTTTCCTAACCTGGATGAGTCTAATGCTGATTACTTTAAATTGAATTGATTACGGCGCTTGTGAATTGATCGTACATTGGATTAGGTTTGCTGTCGGATTCCAATTGGCTGTAATTGACTAGTGATGATTAGTACTGATGAGAGGTTATACTTGTATTGGTGTATTATTATGGATCAATTGTTGGCTGGATCTAGTTAGTCATTGGATTCCGATCAGCTTTGATTGACTAATGATGATAATAATAATAATGATTGTATTTACAGGTGTGTATATGAGTTGAGTACAATTGGTTGACAATCACCTTATGAAGAAAAGTACTTATAATTATATACATGTTGTTCGTTACACCCTTTTTTTCTTTTATACATGATTTGGATAGATTATACAGTTCAAATAGCTGGGTGTGCTTTTGATAGTTATCTAATTTGTAGGTTTCAATCAGTATTGATTAGCTGACTTATAATTATTGTACAGTTGGTACATTGGATTAGGTTTACTATCGGATTCCAATTGGCTATAATTGACTTGTGATGATTAGTACTGATGAGAGGTTATACTTGTATTGGTGTATTATTATGGATCGATTGTTGGCTGGATCTAGTTAGTCATTGGATTCCGATCAGCTTTGATTGACTAATGATGATAATAATAATAATGATTGTATTTACAGGTGTATGTATGAGTTGAGTACAATTGGTTGGCAATCCCCTTATGTAGAAAAGTGCTTATAATTATATACATGTTGTTTGTTACACCCTTTTTTCTTTTATACATGATTTGGATAGATTATACAGTTCAAATAGCTGGGTGTGCTTTTGATGGTTATCTAATTTGTAGGTTTCAATCAATATTGATTAGCTGACTTATAATTATTGTATAGTTGGTAATGTATTGTAATGTTTTTTTTTTTTTTTTTTGTTATTACATTATTGTTGTTATCATTATTAATACTATTGTAACAATGTAATTTCTTGAGTCGAATTAAACACACTAATGCAGTGAGATTGCTAGCTATGATTATGATTATTGTTGTTGACTCAAACTTATTCTACAGTACAAACTTATTCATTGAGTATGCTACATATTTACTTATTTATTTACACATTATTGTTGTTATTATTATTAATACTATTGTAACAATGTAATTACTTGAATTGAATTAAACGCACTAATACAGTGAGATTGCTAACTATGATTCTGATTGTTGTTGTTGAATCAAACTTATTCTATGGTGTCCGGCATGATGGGGTACAGTGTAACATCAAGGTTGTTATTACTATAGTAACGATGTGATTACTTGAATCGAATTGAACACACTAATCCAGTGAGATTGCTAACTATGATTATGATTATTGTTGTTGAATCAAACTTATTCTACGGTACAAACTTATTCATTGAGTACGTTACATATTTACTTATTTATTTACTTATAATTGGTGTATATACATACGGAGCTTTTGCTCCTTTACTTTTGCGCCCGTCCCCTTGAGGCGGGGCGGCGACTTGAAGGCCCCCCTAAGTGGGGAGCGGTTTCCCTGAAGGGGCTCCGGTGAATTTAAACGACGGTAGGGTGGCGGGTGGGACGGCCTGCTCTGCAATATTTAATTAATTAAGGTAAATCCCCTCCTCAGAGGTCTCCAGCATCCTTCCCACCCGCGCCCGCGTCTTATTCCCTCCCTAGTCGGGATGGGAATATGCAAAGTCTAGTCCTGTGTTTCCGGACCCTCGCCCTGTCCATATGGCAGGGCGGGGACCGCTGTAGGTCGATTCCGTGGTGTCAAGTCGGC